TCGCAGTTGCTGTGCATTTACGAGGGGGGCCTTTCGACTCGCCCCACGCCACTCTCCTCGTCCCCCTTGGATCCAACCCTCTTTTCCTTCTCAAGGCCACTGAGACACAAACTGGACGGCCATCTCTCAGGGAATACCTTGCGTTCTCCTATATAAACAGCTGCAAAAATGGCTGCCTCTTCAGACCCACAGGTGTGTCTTGGCTTTTTTTGATGGCGTGCCTACCAAATTAGGGCATGCCTAACCATCGATGGCATCTCAGAATTAAATAAATACGTTATTATTCCCCTCTCCCCGCCCTCCGCCTGCCACCCTTTCCCCTAAATTACTGTTCCCTTTGCCTTGTGAAGGTGAATGGCGGTTTAAGGGGAGCGGGGGGAGGTTAGTATGCCGTAACAGACCCACCGTCTCAGCCCCTTTGCTGCCCGAAGGATGGGCAGGGAGGGCCTCCCGGGATGCTCTCTCTTCGCCGGCCGCTTCCCGGTGGCCCCAGGCGTCTGTGGCGGTGGTCTCGGTGGCGGGCTGCGTCTGTCGTGGTGATGGAGGGGACACGGGCTCCCAGGTCTCGGCTCTCTTGGCTTCGGGGCCCTGCTCGGCAGGGGAGGGGGGTGGCAGGGGGGGCTCCTGGGGGCCCCGCTCCGTGACCTCCGCCTCCTGCTGGAACCGTGCCCCACACGGCTCCTGCTGCGGATGATGTGGCGGCTGCGGATGATGATGATGCTGGGCCGCCTGCTGCGTCGACTGTGCTGGCCCCAGGGAGGCCCGGGGGGTGCCGGGGGAGGGGGCCGCCTCGTAAGAGCCCACCGGGATGCTGGCGATAGCGGCCTTCACCCGCTGCGGGGCCTTGAGGGGTGGGCGCTGCGAGGGCCGGGCGGTGGATGCGGACGGAAGGGGCGGCGGAGGGGCTGCAAGGAGAACCCAGAACAGAGTGGGTGCGCGGTGCGGTTTCTAAGATTTGAGGCCACTTGTTTGGCCCTGTATCCCCAACCCCCCATGCCTTCCTTCCTTTTGGGAAGGGGACCCCTTTGACCTCTATCCCCTCCATGCTGTACCTGTGGAGACCCCCATTCCCTGGCCGGGCCCCCCAGGGGGAGGGGCTGCAAGGAGAACCCAGAACAGAGTGGGTGCGCTGTGTGGTTTC